ATTTTAATCTGTACACCCCCCCCCCTTCATCTCCAACATTCAATAACAAGACGAGACTTGTGAAACAAAAGGGTAGAAGACACGTCATACCTACAGACATTCAGAGCCCGAAGCATTTTCTGCACCGGAGATAAAGGAATAGGGAAGAGAAATAGTTCACAACTTCTATCAAGTCACCAAACTTTCCAAGTCTGAATCTTGAAGTAGATCGGAAATCAATTACCAAAATCTGATCTCAGCTTAACCATGTTCTCATCTTTCAAAAGCTCTTTTCAAATAAATCTGTCGCTTTCATTAAAACACTTCCTGCTGATCCTGCTATGAGAGTCCTTGTTCAGGCACTTCCTGTTATGGGGTGACAACGGTCTCTCAATGGTGTTCCTGCGTTGTCACCCTGTCACATGCTCCACTGGTATAAACAGCAGCCATACTGAATCCCCGTTCACACTAACACATGAGCGTTTGTGCGTGGTTCTTGCTGCACATCGCCCATTGATTTCAATGGGTGCCACACACGCGACCAAGTATCTCATGCAGCATTTTCAGCTGCGAGTGTCCCGTGCTTTTTCCGCCATGCGTGTGTGGGCTTTTAATGCACGTCCACGCAGGGCGTAACAATAGCGATAGCCATGGCAGCAGATGCGGCTTCTATGGGGCCCTAAGGGTGGAAGGGGGCCCTATCAAAGTTTGTAGGAGTTGCTGTTGACCCTGTACCCCCATGACATTTCCAATCAAGAAGAGCTGACATCATATGTACAGGAGGATACTATGCAGACAGCTCTCCTGCTTCCTGTCATTGATTTTAAGGGGTCATCAAAATGCTATGGGGCCCCATGATCTGTAGTTACATGCCTGGTAAAAACGCGCTCTTTACAGGCTAGCTTTGGGGTTACGTTTATGCATAATGCCACTTCTAAGCACAATGCACGTTTTGAATGCATTGCATGAACACGCATTGCATAAGGATAAGGATCTCTGTTTTAGTCATGTAACTGTCATTTGTCATTTTCAAATCTCATTCGACTCGGCTGTAGGGTTGTTACCTGTCCAGGATTCACCAAGACAGTCCGGGTTTTGGATGCTGTGTCCGGGTTTCATGGCAGCAGAAACCCGGACACAAGATGTCAGGCAGACAGGGGCAACCAAAATTAAGATAGGAGCTACTGCCCCCCCACTGAAAAAGTCTCAACGGTGATATTTACATATGAATAAGCGAAGACTCATTCTCCCAAAAAAATGTCCGCGCGTCGCTAGAGTGTTCGGGTTTCACTTAAAGAAAAGGTGGCGACCCTACTCGGCTGAGAACAAGAGTTCCTATTGCTGAAAAAAAAAAAAGCCCTATACTGGTGCGTTAGCTTTGTGAATTGAGACTATTGCAGAGAGGTGGTAGCAATGGTCACTATCAGGAAGCCGGTGTTCTATCATTTTTCTGGACCTGATAAGAATGCTGGACCACCACCAGAAGTGACGCGGTCTCAGCTGTTGGGGGTGTGCTAGTTTCAACAAATCATACGCCCCTGTTCTATCATTTTACTCAACACTACCCAGCGAGTGGTCTGTAATTGCATCACTTCCAGCTCCTGAGCGGTAATTCCCGACTACAGAAGCCGGGGAAGAAGCTGATCAAGCACAATCTGTTCTTTATCAGCTTCATTGAAGTGCAAAGGTGACATTAGAGGTCTAATACACTCCTAATGTCACCTTAAAGAGGACTTGTCATCACTAATATTTTTCACGTAGTGGGCTTGTGAGCCCCCTAAAGTAATAGCAGTTTAAAAAAGTGTAAAAAAAAATAAGCAGTTAAATAAAATACATTTACAAACAACCTCCATTTTTTCTTAAAAACTCCCGTGAACATACACATGGAGTACTAACGCAAATACGCGTCGGATGTACCTACGTATGAAAACAATGATTGTACAGCACATGATGGGCATCACCGCATGCACCAGAGTGAAATCAATAAGTCTAGGGCCAATATTCCCACCTTGACTACCTTTAGGCGTTCCCTAAAGACTCATCTCTTCACGCAATCCTATCCCACCTCAACCTAACCACTGAACCATCAGGTTCTCAAACAACTCATCCCCACACAGCTCCCTCCTCATGTATCACTTCCCCCTCCCCTTTTCATTGGATGCCCTCAGGGGCAGGGCCCTCCTTACCATCTTGTCTTGAACTGTATTGGGATTGTAATATCTTCCCTATATTGTAAAGCGCTGCGCAAACTGTTGGCGCTATATAAATCCTGTATAATAATAATAATAATAATAATAATAAATAATAATATTCTCGGTTTACTCTGAACTGATGACCTGTACATGCTTTTAAGAACTCTCCTATGGACAATTTGGGGTACCGTATATTTTTGCTGTTTCACAGAGGTACACAATCAGGAAGCCAGGCGGTGGGTAATGACACGCCGCCTGGCTTCCCAATTGCCCAGAAAGCCAGCTCCATGCTGTTTTGCTGGCTCGATGCTGATTGGCCAAGCTCCATGCTGTTGGCTGGGAAGCCAGCTCCATGCTGTTTGGCCGGCTCCATGCTAATTGGTCAATCAGCATGGAGCTGGCCAAATAGCATGGAGCCTGCTTCCCGGGCAATTAGGAAGCCGGGCAGCGGGTAATGACACGCCTCCTGGCTTCCTGATTGACCAGAAAGCCGGCTCCATGCTGATTGCCTGGGAGGCCGCTTTCCCAGCCAATCAGCATTGAGCCGGCCAAACAGCATGGAGCCGGCTTCCCAGGCAATCAAGAAGCCGGGTGTCAGGTAATGAAACGCAGCCCAGCTTCCTGATTGCCAGGGTAGCCGACTCAATGTTAGCGGAAGTACTGGTATCAGAACTTGGTATCGGCGAGTACTGAAAGATAAATATCGGTACTCCTACTCCATACCGAAAAAACGATATCGGTGCATCCCTGATGTTGGGTATCTATTTACTCAGCACAACCTCATCTTTCATATTTTGTAAAAAATGTTTTAATAAATTATGTTTTTGTGCACTAAAATGAACTTAAATGTATTTCTTACTGAAATTTTAGGTTTGATAAAGAGTTGCACTAACATCATGGGACATTAAAATGTGCAACTGTCGCCATTTTATTCTACAGGATCACTAGTCTGGCTGAATTCTCTGCAACAGAAATGGAAAATTCAGCAAGCAGTGTGAGACCTCCCCTAATGTGACGGGTGCAGCAAATGGGTGGATCGGGGAGGTGTCCCCTATGGGATCTCCAAAAGATTAAAGTAGTAAAGTAACCGGAAGGGAGGGGGGCTTTTTGGCATCCAAACCAGAAGGGTCAGCTGGGAATGGAAGGTTAATTTTTTCCTGGCCCAGAGCACAGAGTCAGATTACAGCACAATGTCTGCCAAACAAAAAAACCCCACATGGGAATTCCTGGACAGAATCCGCCTTCACAAATGTTTACACAACAGCAAGCAGCTCGGCTCAGTCTGCGTTAAGCCGCCCCTACACTTGGCTCAAGCTATTGTATTCACAAAGCCGCCCCCCCCGCAGCCGTAAGAATGCCTGAACAGTGATTGAGGCCGATTGGCTGCAGTCACAGTTCGGCCGTCAGTTTTTGGTCTGGCTCCTTCTACAAAAGTCAATTGAAAAATCGACTTTCGTCTAATAAAGTAGTGCCGGCAGGGCCACCCACAGGGCGAAGTCACCAGGACCTGCCGAAAATCCAATCAGTGAATGGCCAGCTTCAACAGAAAAATCCATTTTAGTAATCCGGTCTTCTAAAGACCTTCGGACCCCCCTACTAAAATGAGTTTACTTGAAGGGTTCATATACACCTTTGTGATTTTGTGTGTTGCCTTTGCTCACTACCACAGAGCACGTTACGTGCATTAGTGTGTTGCAGTGTCATTAATGGCACCGCAATGGCCCCATTCATTTTAAATGGCACCACAATGGCCCAATTAATTCTTAATGGCACCGCAATGGCCCCATTCATTTTTAAAGGCAACGCAATGGACCCATTCATTTTAAATGGATCCACAATGGCCCAATTAATTCTTAATGGCAGCACAATGGCCCCAGTCATTTTTAATGGCACCGCAATGGCCCCAGTCATTTTTAATGGCACCGCAATGGCCCCATTCATTTTTAATAGCAGCGCAATGGTCCCATTCGTTTTTAATGGCACTGCAATGGCCCCATTAATTTTTAATAGCAGCGCAATGGTCCCATTTGTTTTTAATAGCAGCGCAATGGCCCCATTCATTTTTAATGCCACCAAAATGGCCCCATTAATTTTTAATGGCACCACAACGGCCCCATTCATTTGTAATGGCACAGCAAAGCCCCATTTATTTTTAATAGCACCACAATGGCCCCATTCATTTAAAAATAGCACCGCAATGGCCCCATTCACTTTTAATGGTACCCCAACGCACTAAGGTAACGCAGATCGGACACACATGAGCACACCACAATGCGTGGTAACACACTACCACATGTTGCATTGGAAAAAAAGGTTGTGTTCGGTACATTGGCAGCCCAGTTGAAATGAGTTAGGGCCAGTTCACACTATAGTGTTGTGCTAAAGGAGTGGGATCTGTATGATTATTGCACGCTATTGCAAAACGCACTGCACTGCAAACTAGGTGCATTCTGAATGGCACCCCAACTCACATCACAGGGCACGTGTGCTGCTCTGTAACACATAGTACTGCAATAGTATGCACTGCATGGCCATGTGGTGAAAAATAAATAACACGTGCACTATTTGTTTTCACCACATGGCAATGCAGCGCATGCTGATACTTGGAGGAATGATGGGGTGCCATTCAGAATGGCACCTAGCATGGGGTACAGAGCACTGTACAGTAGTACATGTGTAGTGTGAAGCGGTCCTTACTGCGCTCAGCTTTACTGAATATGCATAATAATGACCAGAGGAATACCGCATGACTGATACCACTATTCTTTCCAGTAGGGGGCGCTCCTTCACTTCTTTAAAAGGTTCAATGAGCTGAATGGTGATATTTTTTTATACAGCTGGGTTTCCCAGGACTGGGACCATCGGCGACGGGTAGGGTGAGATGGAGTATTGTGAGAATGCAGAACGGGCCACTACCAGCGTGGGCATGATGGTGGGGTGGGAACGGATGGCTGGGGATAGAGGAGAGGAGCTCCACGCCAGTCCCGACAGCGGCGTCGTAGTTAAGGATTGTTCTAGACCTGTCCAGAGCTTCGAGGTGGCATGGCGACTCCAATCCAGCATCCGGGTCAAGTGGGTGGCTATGTAGTACAGGTGTTCATCAGGCAGGCCCATCCCACCGGAGTGTTTTGGTAGTCGGAGTATGTTGTAGTTGATTCGGGGGGGCTTCCCCGCCCAGACAAATTTAGTGAAGAGAGTTCTAAGCGTTCGAAAGAATGTCGAAGGTATCTTTATCGGTAGGGCCTGGAGAGGATAAAGAAGCCGAGGGAGAATAGTTTGCTTTAAGATGTTACAGCGGCCCATCCACGAAAAGGTCCCCGTGGACCATTTCTTGAGGTCCAAGCTGATGGCAGTCAGCAATGGAGGAAAGTTGAGTGAAAAGGTCAGGGACGGGTTTTTGGGGAGTTGAATGCCTAAATATTTCAGGGACGTGGGGGACCACTTAAAGGGGAAATTAGTTAGTACTCTCCACAGGCGTGGGCCTGTTAGGGAGAGGCGCATGGCCATAGATTTATGTGAGTTAACTAAGAAATTCGATATTTTGCCGTAGCGTTCTATCTCGGACAGAAGTAGCGGGAGGGATACGTCAGGGGAGGCGAGGAAGAACAGGAGGTCGTCCGCAAAAGCTGCCACCTTATGCTGGACTGGACCAGTCTGTACTCCCTGTATGCTCACGTTGGCACGCACAGTACGGAGAAAGGGTTCTAGGGAGAGGACGAAGAGTAGGGGCGAAAGTGCTGAATGGTGATATTGACCTACCATATCTAGAAGACTTGAATGAATCACTGCAACACAGGACAACATTTTTGAACATTCCTGTGTACAAATGTACCAAAAATGTAATATTAAAAAAAAAAAAATGTCCCATTGTCATCTATCTTCACCACCTGCACTTGCTGCATGTTGCATAGAAGGTGGACACTGACAAGTAGTCTGGGAGGGTGTAAAATACTGGCTTTGCATTTGACTTCCTTTGCAAGGAAAATGGATGACAACTGTTGGCTGGCAATCAGGCGGGCACTTGACACAACTGCGTACATGGAATTTTGGTTGAAAGGCGGCACTTGCCCCTCTCACAGGCATTCTAGATGTTGCAAAGAACGGACATCACATTATTTTATTCACTTGCAATCTGCCTTTGAATTTTCTAGGAACTTCAGGAAGAGTCAATTCCATAGCACAGCCCCCCCCCCCCTCCTCATTGCACATCACAGCCCTCTCCTCTTCTGCTAGTTAGTCTATGCTGGCCCAGCCCCTTCACCCCTCCCCTCACCTCCCTATATAACCTTTTATGTAGCTGCCATCGGAGGAGCGTAGTTGAATACTATAGAGCAGGGGTGGGCAACTCCAGCTGTGCTTTAGCTACAAATCCCGACATGCCTCTTGGACGCATGCCTATAACGTTCAGTCTTGCAATGCCTTATGGGACTTGTAGTTCCACAACAGCTGGAGGGCCAAAGTTGTCCACGCTCGATATGGAGTATAACTTGAGTGAGCCTTTGAACTTGCTAGAACATTTGACTACTCCAGGAAGAGTCATTTCCTTAGCTGAGCCCCCTCGCTCATTGCACATCATAGCCCCCTCCTATTCTGGGAGGGTCTAATTACAGCCTGTGCTGGCCAAGCTACTCTACCCCTCCCCTCATCTCTCTACATAACCTTTTATGCAGCTTTTGGTGGAGGAATGGAAGGGATACTACAGGGTGTCGCTTGAGTGACACTTCTGAGTCTACTTGAGCTGCCGACATCCAAGATGGCTGCATGCAGCAGCCATTGGAAGCAGGGACTGATATGAAAGGCTTCCTCTTAGACACTCATTTGCAAAACTGGTTTCTGAGGTGGTTTGTATACCTGCTGCATCTATCCCAGGTACCTCTTCAGCTTAATACATGTATATAACATATACATACACACCTCTATCCCCCTCCACTCTGGCTGTGGTATGGCCCTCAGGTTTAATGCTGCATTAGACAGGACAACATCACAGGTCCGGAGCCTGGGGGAGCAGAGACGGCAGGGACTGGTCTAGCAGCCAAGCAGGATCAAGAATCAGGTGAGTATATCTTCTTGAATCTAACCCCTAGACAAGGAGTAAGCCTTCCAGCTGTTGTGGAACTACAAGTCCCATGAGGCATTCCAAGACTCTGACAGCCATAGGCATGATGCATGATGGAATTTGTAGTTTTACCACAATTGGAGGGCCAGAGTTTGCCAACCCCTGCCCTACATGGGTACAAGGGTAACCCCACTGCAAGGGGTAATTTTTATATATCCCGGTGTTCCTCTTTAAGCTATGTTCTGTTAGCTGTTGCTCGGCTTTTGAATCCTTTTCCCAGCGTTGGTTCCCTTTGCTGGAAAATTGCTTTGTGCGCTTCGAAGCATTCACGCGGTTCCTATAGGCAATAAAGACACTTTTTTTCTTCAGATGGTAGATGAAACATTCACCCCGGTGTGTACGGGGTGAATGTACATGTGAGATATCATTCTGTTCCACCCACTCAGAACTGTTATTTTAAGAAAAAGAAGCTGTTGAACCAGCCAGCGCAGGAGGACTGTTTCAGTTTTTTACATAGGAGGAAGTGAACAATTCTCACTGTAGTTCCCCGCAGCAGAATGAGGAACCTGTTTATGAGTCACGGCGAGAAGAAAAACAAGAGGGATGAAAATGTCATATAGGAAAAGATGATCCAGAGCTCTCGCGTACTGGTAACGCCAGACGGTTACATCATGAAGCTGGCAATAACCACAACCGCCATACTGAACACAGTGATCTTAGAATTCTTCTGCCAGGGAACCCTGTGAGGTTTTTTTTTTTTTTTTTAATCACTGGAATTACATTGCTACTTTAGATGTAAATGAAGTTCTATAAAGGGGGACGGAACCAACAACTGCTTTGTGTGAGCTCTGTCCTAAGAGAAATATAGAGGCGACCATTGCTGATGTCCTTCTGATAGTGCCAGTTGGTAATAAACTGAAAATTAGACTTAGACCTCATTCACACAGCGCAGAGTCGGCCGTACAGATCCGTGCCGCGTGCACAGCGGTATCAAGCCATTCCTGGGAGGGACAGGTGCTGCGTGTAATTGCACGCAGCAGCCTGTTCTTTATTGGAGGACACGGCAGCACGCACACCCGAGCTGCACATCTGTGTGGGTGTCCGTACTCAAGCAGGGTGGATATTGTCTGCATCCGAAAACGGACACCCGGACTCACGGACACCCATGTGCATGCGGGTCCGGGAAGAACAGACTGCTGCACGCAATCACACGCAGCACCTGTCCTTCCCAGAACAGCCCAACACGGCTGTGCACGCCGCATGGATCTGTATGGCCCAATTTTATGCTGTGTGAATCAGGCCTTAAAGAGAAACTGCACGGGCTAATTGTTCTTTTTCTCTATGGCAGATCTGGGCATTCTATAACCCATGGTGTGTGGCAGTCCGGCCCATTGTCTGTGCATGGATAAATCGCTGACCTGTGAACATTTATGGCTGGTTGACTCGATGTACCAGCCACCAAGGCCAGTGCATCCACCTCAAGCCATAGCCCAGCACTGGTCGGCAATGTCCATGTCCGGACCACATTGCTCTTCTCTCTTTGGTTGCTAGGACCCCTGGCGTCCTAGCAACCAATGATGTTGTGGGGCTTCCACATTAATTGGTTGCTATGACCACTGGGCGGTCCTACCAACCAACAACATCAGGGGTCCACCTCTCTGCAGTCATTGATTGTCATTCGCTGGGTGGTCCTAACAACCAGTCACAATCAACCCGCCCCCAACTCTACCTCGTACACCTTCTCTGTTTTCTCCAGGGTGAAAAAAAAAAAGTGTGTGGCACATATTTACTATTAGGGCCTGTTCCCATCAGGTCCATGCAGCACCGCATTACCATGCAGTGCAACTAAAAAAAAAATAGTGCATGTACTACTTTCTACTATCTTCCCCCGGCCATATAATGAAGATCTGTTGAAGGATCAACTGACCAGCAACAACTGTTCTCATTGATTGGATTACTGGTTATTACTTCTGCCTCACAGCACTGGGGCCCCCTTGGTTTGAATCCAAACCAGGACACACTCTGTAAGGAGTTTGCATGTTCTCCTTCTGCTTGTGCGGGTTTCCTCCCACACTCTAAAAGCAGCATTTCTAAACTTTTTTTTTTTTTAGCAATGCTGGCGACGTACACTGTACGTCGTCAGTCACGAAGGGGTTAAAAGTATGCAACATCTCGAGGCACCCCAGTCTAAAATGTTATGGATTTTAAGGCAAAATAACCCAAAAAAGTGTATTTCCCCCTTTGCATCAAAGTGTCCCCTTCAAATCAAAATCCCCCCCCCTTACTTTCACATCAGAGTCACCTTTTGCATTAGAAGCCCCCCTTCACATCAGTAGCTCCCCTTCACATCAGAATCCCCCCCTTTCATATCAGAGTTCCCTTTTTACATCAAGAGCCTCCTCCACACCAGTCTTTATTCCCCCTTCACATCACAGTGCCACTACCACATAATTTTGAGGCACCCCTGAGGAGGCCAGGAAGCACATCAGTGGGCCACGGCACCCTAGTTGAGAATGGCTGTTCGAAAGACATACTAGAAAGGTTAATTGGCTCCTGTTTAAATTGGTCTTAGTATGTGTGTGTATTTGGGATGCACTCATACCGATACTAATATCGGTATCTGTGCCGATACAGAGTATTTGGGCGAGTACTTGTACTGGCCCAAATGCTCCCGATGCCTATCCCGTTACCGGAATTTCTGGTATCGGGAAGCCGGGCAGTGAGTCATTACATGCCGCCAGCTTCCTAATTGGCTGGGAAGCAGGCTCCATGCTCCCTCGTTGCCAGGGAGCATGGAACTGGCTTCCCAGCCAATCAGGAAGCTGGGGGGCAGGTAATTACTTGCCCCCTGTGGCTTCCTCATTGGCCAAGAAGCCGGCTCCATGCTCCCTCGTCACGCATTGAGTTGGCTGCCCAGCCAATCTGAAAGCTGGGAAGCGTGTAAAGACTCGCTGCCCAGCTTCCTGATTGGTCAGGAACCGGGCGATCCAGAAAGCCTGAGGCGAGTCATTACACGCCGTCCAGCACCTTAATGGGACTTCCGGTATCGGTAGCCGGTATTGGCGAGTACAAAAAAAAAATATCGGCGCTCGATAGCGAAAAAACAGTATCAGTGCATCCCTAGTATGTCTGCATCACTTTTCACTCCAAGGATGAAGGGTGTAGGTCTTCTGATGCACAATGATACAGCCAACTATAGGCTGCTTGCATAGACACAACATTCTGCCGTGTGTACAGCTCACATTGTACATAAAATGAATTCGGTCCCTTGACACAGATGATCATTTAGAACAGTGGTTCTCAAACCGTGTAACCTCGGGACCCACATTTGTCCTCGGTCATTAAGTTGCGACCCAAGTTGCACTGCAATGGAACGCACAACAATAGGGTACTGCATGTTTTGGTGCGGGCATATGAACTGTGGGTGGGAGATGCGTTTGGGGTACCATACAAATGAATAGTCACTCGGGTCCAGGCACCTCTATAGAACACGTGAGGGAGCTGTAAGCAATGAACGTATGGATGGAGCTCCTTCGCGACCATAGCCCCATCCAATCCCACCTCAAGCTGAAACTCTGCGCCGGGCAGCATATTTTGAATGGCTGCTTGGCACGAGAACTGACAGTGCTGCGCTAGAGAGAAGCTGAGGAGCCTCTCGCCTAGAAAAGTGGAAGGCATGCGGTGACCCACTGAACACGGGGTCGCAACCCACTTTTGGGTCACGACCTACCAGTTGAGAACCAAGGATTTAGAAGACTGTACAAGAGAACAAAGTAGCAATATATAACATATTGTTACTTTGTTCTCTTATACTTGCACAGCCTTCTAAATGATCCCCCTTGCCAAGGGTCCTGCTTGTAATATCCTTAACATTCCCTTTTCTATAAAGTTGGCTGCTTTATTGTCTTTCTTTCAAGTAGCTAAGGAAGTGCAAAAAGTTCTCATTTACTATTTTAGTAGTATGGCTGTGTATGGTGAACAGGAACGCTGGACTATATTTTGGCATTTATCTGTTTACACATCACCTCACAAGCGTCAGGAAATCCAGATTAAAGGCTGCAGCTAAGCTGTTTCCTGTCTCATATTCCTATACAATATCATGCTTAGACAAAGACAACTTCAGACTGCTCCTAAGAAAAGCAAGTTTGGTAAATGGGGCTACCTGCTGAAGAACATCAGGCTAAACAAAATCTTTGTATAGAACCTAATGGCACAGCTATTCATTTTCTATATAGAACATATTTCTCTGACTCTGGATAGGCTGATCTCCTAAACAAAACAGAATAATTGGCTTGGAACAAGTAGAAACAAGGCACTGGGTTACAATTATCATAAGGTCGATCAGATTCCAAGGAGGCATGGTGACTCTGGTAAGGTGGCTCCCAAAAAAACAGCAATAAAAATCAGACCGGCGTTCTAACCCACCTTTAATCTATCCAAAACTTAACAAAAAGGTTTCGGCTTTAGATACTCTTCAAATAAATTTTTTTGGTTCATCAACATATATTACAACTACAAATGTGTCCATATAAATGCAAAAATACCTGCAGTGATGGGACCATCTCTGAGACTAGAGTCAGGCAACCTCAGAACTCAAGTGAAACTACAAGTCCCATAAGGCATTGCAAGACTCTGACAGTCACATGCATGACCCCAGAGTAGAGACATGAGCTGGATTGCTGAGGTTGCCCACCATTGTTTTAAACCTATGGACTGCTGCCAAATTTCCTATACAGACATCCTTTGGGCAGGACGTAAGATAAGATTTGTGGATTTATGCTGCTACAGTGACTCCTCTATTGTTTCCCGCACAATGTGGGTGTTCAGCACCCACCTGGACCTCCCATCTTTGTCAGGTTTGGCTGTCATTATGGATGGCCAAATCTTTAGCAGGTTAGGCAAAATGGTTACATACTAATGTGCATTTTCTCAAGGATATTGATAGAATAGATTGAGAGAGGCTCATCATTAAAGTGTATCTCCGGGGCAATACAAAAATCTACCCTTGCAAGGGTTAACTGCTCATAATGTCTAAAGGACATTTACTTACCTGATCCCCGGTCTCCTAACATTTGGCGCTCTCCTTGTCGCGTCTATGCTTATCCCTCGGCATCCTTACATATAATGCAGAGCTATGGGCCCTGACATCATCAGGGCTGACCACTGTAGTGCACGGGGGGGGGGGGGG